TTATACTGTTTGGCAAAGTCCATGTTGTACTTTGCTATCACATATTTCCAATAGTCTGATGCTTTAAGGCTCACATCTGTATGGATTTTCCAGTCTGGGTAAATTGCCTTGTAACTCTTGTAAGGGTGATATTCATGGTTTGTAGCTCTGCAGCGAAAACGCTGGCCACTCATTACAAAAGAAGAGCATATGTCAGCGATCAGTTTTTGTGTATTTGGCCAACTGAATCCTCCCAGACCCTGAGGTCGATGCATTGAAGCAAAGTGCTCAGTGTGGCTGCCTCCTCCTGCCTCACAGGGAGCTTTGCAGAATGGACACTGTTTGCCACAACCAACCAGTCTGTTGAAAAGCTCATTCTGGGGCTGCACATGGAGATGCTGTAGTTTCACTTCAAAGTTCAATGTTTGAAACTCTTTTCTGAGGTCTTGTGCCATGTCAATCACAGACACTGTGAGCGAGTGAGCAAACTGTTCCTTGTCAGCATTGTTCAGGATCATGAAAGCACCAAGAGCATCCTGGGAAATGACCAGTTTATCACCAAGTTCATTACAAATATCTTCAACAAATTTCTTCAAATCATCACTCTTTCCTGTTTTTGCCTTGTTGATTGCATCATTTATGCGTCTGATACATGACTGGAGATGTCGGTCCTCAAACTCAGATACTGACACGATTGAGAAGTGCTCCACTATTTTGTTGTGAATCCATGACTTCATATACTTCTCATATGAGCAAATATAGCTCACATAGTTTTTAAAATCAGCTTTTAAAAGTAAATCCAGTAAAACTGAATATTGGAAGGACATTCGTGTGCTGAACTGCTCACATGTCAACATTTCATCAATGATATCAGCTCCCAGGAAACGACTGATAAAGTCTTCAACAGCAGGCTTCAAACATTTGTTGGTGAATTCTTCTGCCTTCTTCTGACGCTGGTCTCTTTCATGGAATAAATCTTTGAAATCATCACGAAACTTTTCATTGTTTTTCATCAGACATCTGTAGGAATCATTTTCTTGGATCAAATCATTGTGCATTTTCTGAAACTCTCTGGCTGCAAATCCACAGATGTGCTGCTTCAGGGAAACTTCAAACTCTATGTATGTCCTAACATCTTGATTGTTTTGCAGTTTCTCATCAATGATGTGTAGAATCTCCTGGATGTAAGTGTCAGTGTAATTGTTTTTTCTTTTTACTGTTTCACTCACAAACTGAGTGCAGTGATCTATGATGCTGTCAGCCAGTTTTTGTGCAGCTGTAATGGGATCTTGAATGTTGTACATTTTAGCCACTGCACGCCTAAATTTTGAGATGTCACTTGTATATTTGAAAGGCTCTTTTCCAAAATCTTGTAGACGTTTTTGACTTAATAATTCACATGCATGACTCCCCCTGTGTGAGAGATTTATTCTCAGGCAGTGAGATACGCTGGTGAAGACATTTGTGATCTTCTGTTTAGAAAAAGAAAGTTTCCCCAGTGTTTCACTCCACATCTTATCAAACTCTTTGTCTAGCTCTTTGTCTGTCATCTGGAATGTTTTCTTTCTGCATGTATCTATTAACACATGAACTGCCTTTTCAATCTCTTGTGCGTGATTTTCTTTGATTTTATCAATTTCTATCATCCCCTCTCTGTTTTCTGCTGCTGCTGTGAGCTGATTACAAACACTCGTTTCCATTTCTTTTCGAAGGCTCTTTGCACTGTTTAAGAATTCCTCTTTGTATCCTTCAACCAGATAAACATGACCCTCTGTTTGCTTGAAATACGGTGTCAGATTTTCTAGAAGTTTTCTCTCCCATGTGGACAGCACTGTGGAGGCTTCACTTTTCAAACATGTGAGAAATTCTCTCATGTCAGAAGATTCAGATTCTGCTGCAACTGTACCAAAATTGGAAATTCTTATTTCTGCGTTTGTTACCCAGGTGTACATTTCTTTTTTGAATTCCCACTCCCATTTGTTGAATTCTGTGCAGAGTCTCATGTATGCATCAGCTACGAGGCTGTTTCTGAAGCTGAAGATGAAATTTTCATGCTTTACTGCAGTCCACAGACTTGTCATCCATTCTTTAAAATCCAAGATATCCTTAGCCGATGACTCACAGTTTCC